AAACCTTGCCTAATAAAACTCAGGAGAAGCAGGGCTGTTCTGAATGATTCAGGGTTTGAAGAATTTTATTTTGTTGTATTTGTGTGCCATAAGTAGGACTATCTGAATGTGTCCACGTGTTTTCTCTAGCTTTTTGGGTCGTCTCATTCAAGGCATCGTTACATTCCCTTTCGTTGCAAAGACTGTTGGCGTTGGTTTTGGAGCCTTCAGCACTTTGCTGCTAGCTAAACATTGGTTTCCTTTTGCACAGGCTGGTAGGAATGTGTGCAGGCTTCGCTTTCTGCAGGCTCTGTGTAGAGCACAAAGTTCTGGTTGCTCTTCTGCTTTTGTAAAGGGAAGGCTGCAATGGAGACCCACTTGCTGTACTCTGCCACATGTGCAGTGTGTGGGCTACTCATGTGAGTTAAGGGAATTGAAAGATGTTAAAGGGTTTTTACAAAGCTCTGCAAGCAGCAGTGTGGGGTTTTTTACTTACTTTTACATAGGTGTCAGATGATAAATACTGTTCTGAGTGCTGCCCGAGTATACAGTGCAGAATAAAAGCTGAGTTTTTATTCTCCAGTTGAGCAGAATAAATGTAGATGTCAGCTTTGGGGTGTATTCAGAGAGGAATTTGCAAATTACTGAATGCGCAGAGGAGCTCTGCTGCAAGCACAGTTGTGAAGGCATTGAGCTGTGTGCCCAGCTCTCCTCCAGGTATCGCTGGTAAGTGTTTGTTCCCGGTGAAAAACTTGCAAATTACCTGGCAAGGTAAGGCTTTTCCTTCTGATGCAGCTGCTTTCTGTGTTTCAAGGGCAGACGGCCTCAATGCGTAGTCTGGGTCTCTTCTGCTGTTACAGCTACGAGGCATAGCTTTAATATCTACTGGTAACTAGCAAATAGCAGTGCATGCTTATTCCTTGACTCTTACTTATTTGTTCTCTGCAATCAAATTGAGTCCTTTGGTTTCCTTTCTGACAAGAACTGGTTATCTTTACTCAGCTTAAAGGGCAGTGCTGGCTTAGCTCAGGTTGCGGCAGTGAGGCACTCAGGGCTGGAGGTGGGAGCAGGGAGCTTCAGCTGGAGCTAACTGCAGGTGGGATCAGGAGCAGAGCTGTTGAGGTCGAGTAGGGCTGCTGGGGCCACCAAAGGCTTCTGCAAGGTCAGAGAAGCTGGGCAAGCCCATGAGAAGGCTGTGCTGAGCACTGCTGAATGGCCAAAAGCCCACACTGGCTTGGGAAGACCCAGGAATAAAAGCTGAAGGAGCTACATCTGCTTTTCCTCTTTTCCTTTTCTTTCCCTTTCCTCGGCATCTCTTCTGCTAGCTCTCCTCTGGTTGCTGAAGGTTAGGAATGTGACCACCCTGGAGTTTTGAAACTCCTCGTGTTCAGAGTTTGTCCTTACTGCTCTAATTGTCTCAGTAGCTTTGGTTAAAGGCCTGTGCTGGGAGAGAATGAAGTCCTGAGTGGTGATTAAAAACAAACAAACAAAAAATCCAACCAGAGCATGGTGTGTTCCTCAAGATCGCTTATGTGTATCTGTTGGTTGAAACATGTTGGAAACATGTTGCCTCCTAGGAGGGAGGGCAAGCTTTTCTCTAGACAAAACTTGTGAATGCTGACATGCAGGACTTGGAATAGAAGTGTTGCAGGCTTCTATGCCAAAGCTGCTCACTAGTGTTGATGTCTCCTGAAAAGACTTTCCTGCACACCAGAAATGATCTGCAGAGACCTCATTTTTCCATGTGGGTGTGAAGCACTTTGAATGAAAATGTGCTGACCCAAACGTGCATTGCTCCAGGTCTGATGGGGGATTTCTCAAGTATGGCTCTGTATGCCACCAGTCCAATTTCTCACCATCGAAACCTGATGTGTTGTCCTTGCTCTTAAGGTTTGTTCCATCATCTAATACCAGTGGCAGCTTTTTGACCCCTCTTTCAGTGCTGGCTGGTGCAAAGACTTCAAAGTGGGCTAGCATCCATTAGGTTGGAATTCTAATATTGCTCCTGTGCATTAAACTCAAACCTTTTTTTTTTCTCCAGTATTATCCAGAGGTTCGTGCTGCTAAATGTCAATAAAATGATAATGAGGTGAAGAACAAAGATCCCAAAACTGTGTGCATACCACCTGTGAGCCCTGTGAGGAAGGGTTTTGTAGCGTCACTTCATGCTGTGATGGAAGCAGTATCCTCTGGGAGCTGAGCAGCATCTGTAGAATGCCCTGAATTTTTTAGTTCTAGGCTCTTGAAATCATCTCTCTTGGCTCCCACTGTTGCAGGTCCCCAAGATGAAGTGAGGAAAGGAAGGATCTGGCTGTGTGTTAAGATACAGATGTCCGTTGCTGAGGTGCCTTCGGGGATGTTGCCTGGGAACCTAAAACAGGAAAGTTGGCTTCTCAGCTGCACTTCTCTTGGAAAGTAATGGGGAAGAAAACCTTGCAAGGCTGAAAGCTTCTGTATTCCCGTCCTTCCATTTCTGGCACCCTAAAGTAGAGATGTTCCTGAGGAGGGTGGCACAGCGGGAACTGAGGCATCCTCATGGGCTGGCTCCCCCTGCGTGCTCCTGTGAGCCCAAGGCTTGGCGTTCGGCATGTACATCTCCAGGCCCTGCGAGTGCCATCGAGGAGATGTCACAGGAAGCTCGCCAAGCGTCTGGAGGTACTAATTAAACACACAAAAGCTTAATTGCCTGTCAGAAGCTGGAAGGGGGCTGTCTTGTGGCTTAGGACAGCCTCTTTCATCCTCATTCCTTCTTTCAGTAGCGGAAGAGGTGCGCTGCACTGTGTTCTGCATAATTGGAGGCTTTCTGAACATGGCTACCACAATAACTTGTGCTCCAACCGGGCTGACCACATATTCTCACTTGTGACCATTGCTATAGAGGTGGCTATTTCATGCCATGCCAAGCACGGCTCCTGGCTTCTAGTCCAGATCTGCCACGTGCTGAATCATGCAGGGTCCTCCCCTTACTTCGAGTTTCTCTGCTTTGCCGGAGCAATCTTGCTGCCAGATGGGGTTTCTGGGTGAGCAGCCCAGCACCATCAGCGTGCTGCCGGCTCGGACAACGGCTCTGCCTTGTGAGCTCGGTTGCTCTTGAGGCTGAGTGCGTCTGTGAGGCGCTGCTACGTGGGGCTGGGAGCAGCGGTGTTTGCTGCTCAACCTGAGCTGAAGGTTGAAAGGTCTGGTTGCAAATGGCCCGCGTGAGGTGAGGATGGGTTTTTGGGATTGGCCTTTGCCAGCAGGAAGTTGTGGAGATACACTGGGGATTTTTCTTGTGTGACACTTTGACTCCTCCGTTCTTGCCAACGTTGTTCTTCCAGCAGAACATGAATAATAGCTAACCTCTAGCTTAGCAGAGCGTGAAATAATCTGTTTACTCTAGGAATAGCCCAGCTTCCTTGTTGGGAGGTGCCAGTTCTTAATGAAAGTTGGTATGAAGTTGAAGATGCCAAGTCAGTCTTTGGTCAGGGATCCCTGATAGGAATTCATGTGTATGTTCCTGCCTTCCTCTGAAGTGTAACTAGAGCATGTTCAAGGTGGCAGAAGAGCAAGCTTCCCCTTGTGCTCAGTATTGAAACACAGGGACTGCTTCATGAATGGGATGCTGCTACCCTTTGCCCAGGTGACCCAGTGAAGCTGCAATCCCTTCTTGCTGCACACAGAGAATTGACAATTTTCTAGTTCTTGCAGGGCTTGGGTTGGGACGAGTTCGGCCAGTTCTTCCTTGCTGTGGTGTTTGACCCGGTCAAAACACTTAAAACTTGAGCACAGGGTAGAACTGAAGTTTGCCTTAAGTGCTTCCTAATAAGCATAATATTAGGAGGCACACTCAACCCAATGCCTTTTCGAATTAGAAGAATGGAAAGGCTGAGTGCTGAAGCTGTGGAGCAGGTGCCTGGCTTCATTCACAATGGGTACAGGTAGTTGTGGTGAGGATTAATAATGGTGCCTGCTGTGAGACTTTTGAAGTCTCGTGCAATGCCACTGAGCAATCCTCATAGCTTCTTGAACACAATTGAGGAATGACGCTGGAAGAATGTGTGTATGACTTGGGCTGGGCTGACAAGAAGTTTATAGGAGTACAGGCAGAGTGAAATCCTGTGTGCTGGAGTCGAAGCAGTGCCTCTTGGACGCTCAGCGATGGCTTTGGTGTATTTGTTCTTCACACTGGAGACAGCAAAAATGCTCTCCTGGCTGATGTGCTGGGGCAAGTGGTGGGCATCTTCTGCTGTGGCCGGCATAGAGGGGTCAGTAGTTACAGAACAAGCTATTGGAGAGAGTATGGACCCTTAATCTTCTACCCCTGCTTTAGTAGCTGCGAAAACGCAGCTAGAAGTGCAAGCTCTGCACACCCCTGTGCATTTGGGAGCTGGTTGCTCATAGCCCAGTGCAAAGCAGCACATCTGGGAACTCCTCTTGGGGTTGGGGTACATGGCTGTCCGCTTTTTCACTTGAAGTTGTTATTTTTTTAATGACTTTTGTGGGAACTGTCCATGCCTTTTCTGCTAAGGAAGCTAGATGCCTCTGCTTTGTGTGCAGGACAGAACAGCCCGTATCTGCTCATTCAGAGCAGAGCTTTCAAGAAATGCTGTGAAACAGTTTCATTTTAGTTCATCCCTCATATCCCTGTCGCAGAGGCTGTGTGCTCTGAAGGGTGTTGCGTGAGGAAAAAGGCGCAAACAAAACAAACCTCGTGTGCTTCCTTCTGACCACAGCACCTGGGGCATGGCAGGACACACAGCCAGCCCAGGGGTGCTGCCTCGTGATTTGGGAACCTGTTTTCCAAGGTGGGGAAATGCTGTTTCCCAGAGAGACAAAAAAACATCTGTAGTTGAAGAAAACCCTGTTGCTGAAGTACATTCATAGCACAGAAAGCTGTTTGTTTGCTGAGACGGGGAGTAAGTAGAAGTAGTAGAGGTTTTCTACAAGTGATTTGTCTGCCGGCATGCTTGGAAGCTGGTGTTCTAGTTTGAGCTGTTACGTTTAGTTTCGGTGTTACATTTCAACTTTCTCTTGCCTTCCAGTTTCCCTACAGAGATGACTGGCTAGCTGCTGTGCTGCTCCATGCCCTGGCCCTCACTGCCCTGTGATTTCAGATAACAAACACAAGAAGTGACTCACAAAACGTGTGGTGAGTACATGGGGCTTTGGATTCGGGGGTGTACCAGCATGCTATCGTTATCTTTACTCCTAAAAAGTATCTGGAGAGTCTATGGAGAGATGCCAGGAGACCAAATGCAAGTTGTTCCGTTCTTGTTTCTGTTTTAATATATTCTCTCAGTTTTGCCAACTTTTCTTTTTTTTTTTTTTTTTTTTACCTGAAGTATCTGTGAGCTTGCATCTCTGATCTACTTTCCCTAGCTTCATTTTTAGAAGCATGAGCGTTGAGCTGAAAAACTGGGTAATTGCCGTGCTGCCTGCCAAGTGTGAGTGTCTGCAGCAAGGAAACTGGGCAGGATAAGTCCCAGAGCTTTTGTGAGGAGATGAAGCTTCTCAAAATGTGCTTTAACTTTGGTAATGAGGTACCAGGCTGGTGTGCTCTGTAAAAGAGATTTGTTCCAGTATGGCAACTAGAATATGGGCTGGGTTGCCTGTTCTGGTAGTGCTCGCCTCTGGGACAAGCAGAAAACTCAAAACTGAAGCTGTTGTGAACTTTCCTCTCCTGTAGAGAGAAGGGAGAGCAAAGGTGTGTGTTTGGCCTTGGCATGGACAGATGCCTCGCTTTCATTAGCCATTAATGATGAAAATAAACCAAACAAAGAGGCAAGTGCATTGGGTGGATGAAGGCAATGACTTGGAGACAGCAGTGCAGGTCTCTCTGCTTGGCACATGTTTCCTGGGGGTGTTGGTAAGGAGTACTGCAGGGGTGGTACCAGATTCGCTTCTGTGTAGGGTTTTAATTGTCTCATCCTTTTGGAGTGCTGTTTCTACTTCTGGACAGAATGACTTCAGAAAACAAATGCCCTAAATTGTAATTTGCATTTTAAATTTTGTATGCAGCCTTATAAGCCTTTGACTTCTGGTCATTTCAGCAGGAGAGTGGAGGAGACAAATGCAAGGATGGCAGTTTGATACTGTTGGTAGCTTTCAGACTGGAGGAGAAATTGGTTTTCAATTTTGCTTGATATGGTATGTCCAGTAATTTTGCAGTTTTGCTCCTTGAAAGTAATTTATGGGTTTTTTTTGGTGCCAATTGTAAGAATGCCGTTGATAGTGTGAAAAGTGTTTCATTGGAGCAGTTCAGACTGATGCTTTTAACCTCTTGATATGAGTGCAACAGAAGACAGTAGGCATCTAACTCTGCTTCACTTTTTTTGTATTGTTTTGTCTTAAAGATAAGCCTCTGGAGTCTGAAGCAGCCTGCTTAGTTGATGTGGTGTTGTGGAAGGTTGCTGCCAAGTCACTGCCTTGTTTTTCTTCTTCTCTGCCTGTATGAAGTCTGGGATCTTGGAAGGTTTCTATCAGATGAAATTGTTTCCGTGGCTTTGGGATCATAGTGTGCTTTTCCACTTGAGAGAAGCTTCTACCCTGCTCACAGTGCTTAACTTTTTCCTCCCTTGCTTGCTTTCTGCTTCACCACTGGCACAGAGATGTAAATTTCTGGCACAGACTGCTGGGCAATGGGAATGCTAAATCATGAGATGACCCAAGTGCATGTTTTTTAGTTGCTGAGGATGCATTACTGAAATTCCTTATCATAGAATCACAGAATGGCTTGGGTTAGAAGGGACCTCAAGGATCATCAAACTCCAGCCCCCCATCTCCAACTGATGCCTTATCAATTCCAAGACAATGAGAAGTGCTGCTTGCCTCAACCACGATCTTGCTCCCAAGCTGCCTACAATTATGTCCCTTTCCTGCATCCTGTCTTGTCTTTTTGTGTACTTCAACATTTAAACCAGCTCCAGATTTCCCATTTCACTCTGTTCCCCTGTGCTCCTCTGCAAGCCAGCACCACACTTGTGTCTTCATCTGTAAGATCTGTTCCAGGATCCTGAAGCATCCTGACTTCTTCCCACTTCCTGCAGAACCTGTGCCAGGCTCTTCTGCTTGCTCAGTTATGCTATGAAGCCCATCCAAGGGGGCAGCCACTGAATCTGCCTTGCTTTCCCCCACTGTGCTCAGCAAACCTGCCACATCCCATTGGGAAGTCTGGCTTCAGAAGCACTTTCCTGGATGGCATGGATGAAGAAGAGCAGCAGAAGCTGAGTTAATGGTGAAGTTCCTGGATTAAAGGGTTGTGAATGTTTAATCTCTGCTCTACTCAGTGAGTGCTTTTCTGCATAGCAGCAGATCCAGCACGTGCTGGGATGTGATGGAGCGGTGCTGGACACGCTGTGCTGTCTGAGCATTGGTGGGGATTGCAGAGCACACATCTCCATGCAAAAATCCATCTGAATCCAAAATCTTACCCTTGATGTCAAGATTGGGTGGTGGCAGTGAAAGTTGTGGGTGCCTCTGCTGATCTGTGGCTGCACATGGAGTGGTCCTGATGATGTGTGGTAGCTAAAATATCCTTCTGTACAAGCAGCTTTCTAGTTGCATTAGTCATCCATCAAGCTTCTGGATTATTTAAGTGGTGCAGCTTTCCTCAAAGAACAGCAGTGTCTATTTGTAGAAAGGTACATCGTGTGAAGTGCAATTCCAGTATATGAGAGTTGCGCTGCTCGAGATGTTCTCAGGAATGCTGCATCTCCTGCTGTGGGACTTTGTGATCTGTGAGGTCCGTACCAAAGGTCTGGAATTGCGGAACGCTTCAGGTTGGTCTTGGGCACTCGAATAGTGCTGCTATTAGGGGTCCTTCTCAGCTGTGAGCCAGCAGTTGAGCAGTGTACAGTTGATCTGTTGGGTGCTGGGTGCAGGAGCTGATAAACCTGGAGGAAAAAGGAGCAGTGACCAAAAAGATGTTGTGCAGGTGGAGTGTTCTGCTACGTACGGAGGCAGCCTATCTTAAATTTTTAATGACCAAAACTACCTTTATTTTTAACTCTTCTGGGATCTACTTCATCAGACTTAATCTGAGTCTTGAAACGCCTGGAGCTGAACTGGTCCTCTCTTGAGCCACAGTTGAGCTGTTCCTAGCAGTGCTGTTCATGGAATATCTCTGGGACAGCTGCTAACTAGAAGGTGAATTGCAGCACGATTGTATTTCCATCAACTTAGTAAAAACTTCTACTAAAGGATTTTGTTGCTTTTGAATTTTTGTGCTGTAATGCATACCGGGTGACTTCACTGCATTCTAACCCAAAAATTAAGCACTGCTTTGTGTAACGTTTGAAATTCATAAGCTGGCAAAACATTTGCTCTTGCTTGTGCAGCCTGGCTTTTACGTAACTCATTATTTTTGCTCAAGTGTTGCAGATAGTCTGTTTCCTGTAGCAACAGCCACCAGATGTTTAGCTGAACAAGACTTAATTCTTTAAAATTGACCTGTAAGAAATGTGTGAAGGCGAACGTGGGGGTGGAACAATTGTATGTCGGCATGGTTTCCATTTACGCACTGAGAACCCTGCAAGCCTTGCTATTTTGTTTGAGCAAGGATGGATCCTTCTTCTTTGTGCTGTGCCGCGAGGCCCTTCCCGTGGTTGTTAATGCTTCCATAACTGTGCTGTTTTGAGGCTGGGGGAGGGGAATAGAGCTGTCTAATGAAGATGAACATCACTTGGGCAATCAGCACCGTGTGGGCTGAGTCGGGTTGATCTGCTGCTGTGCTGATCCTGCTATGAGTGTCAGTTGTCAGCTGGACTTTGTACTGCCTGTGGTCAACCCGGCAGGAGGCAGATCCATCTGTATGGAAACCAAATCCTGCCTCGCTTCCTTTGGTGGATGGAGAGAACGCCCTGGTGTTTTATGGGTGATAAAGGAAGGACAAGGGGTGATGGCTTGATATTAAAAAGGATGTGCTTAGATTAGGTGTGAGGAAGAAATCCTTCATTAAGAGGGTGGTGAGGCCCTGGCAGTGCTGCCCAGGGCTACGTTGCCCCATCCCTGCAGGCATTCAGCACCCCTGGTGTCAGCTGAGTGAGATTCCTCTGCTGGAAATAAGAGTGGTTTATTCCCAGTGGTTCTTCAGGGCGCAGTGCAGGTGCTCTGCTCATTCATGTAGGAATTCCAGCCTTTGTTTTGGTGCTTGTTCTGAAATCCTGGATGCCCCCCGCAGAATTATCACACAATTTCAGGAGGAGGTGACTTGAATCTCCATTTCTTCTAGCAGGATATGAGGCTGGTGCTTGCATTAGGTTTCTGTATTCAGTCATTTTCAAAGCTAATGCATGATGACACGGTAAGGCTTTGCTGGAGTGAGCTTGTGAGTGAGGTGCTCTTGGGCTCCTTGCTGGGTTTTACTGCGGTCACCTGCTGTTGTCATCTTGGCACAACAAGCTGCATTTGTTTCTCCTTTAGCTTTATCCTAGATAGCTCCTTTTTGAAGTGTTATTGAATTATCTTGCTTACTAACTGAGGCTTTCATAATTGGAAAACTATGCTGAATTGAAATATCAACTAAATAATTGAAGTTGAGCATTTCCTATCCTGGTGGGAAGGGGAGGGAGGCTGTGCTACATCCCGGTGTTTCAGAAACATGTGAGGGTGGGAGATGTGGCTGCAGCTTCAGCAAGAGCTATTGCTGCTGCAGTTAACACAAATGAAAGCCTTTATGTTCTTGGCATGCTGCTATTATACAGGATACAAAGAGAGCTGCTGAAAATTACCAAACAGGGGAAGCAAACCTCCTCGAGAACATGCATTTATTTTGAGTTGTTCGAAGAATCATAATGTCCAATTGTCTGCAAGCTTCCCAACCGTTCATTTAGTGGAACAGCAGTCTGACAGCTTGCTGGAAATGATGATAGCATCCCCCTGCAACTCTCCTTTTTTTGTTTCTTGTTATCTTCTCAGTGGGGTTCAGCCAGGAACCTCATGGAAAGCCACCGCCAGACTTGGGAGCGCTGGCCCTCGGTGCTTCCCGTCAGCCCGCCCTGCTCGTGGGCAGGGTGTCGCAGCTCAGCTTCTAATTGAAGGGTCCTGACCCCGACCTGTGGCTGCTCAGGGCTGGACTTGCTGCCTTCTGCTTAATTTCAGCTTCTCCCTTTGCTGCTAAATTGCTAAGGTTGTTGCAGGGCTGCTGCGTGT